TGAATGATAGCTGGATTAGCCCTTTTCTTCATGAGTTCGTTGTTCTGGCATTTAGTGTGCTATCGCACATTTTAGTCACTTTTGTTTCTGTTTTTGCATGATAATCAGGATTTGTCAATACCAAAAATGTCTTTCAGATGTGATGTGGCAATTGGTCATGAAATTAGTAGAAAGCTCAGTATAACAATTCCAATAATGAAGTATAGTTCTGTAGTCAAAGATGTTATGTTACTGTCAATAAAGTACAATTCTTTTTTTTTACTGAATTATTCAACTTTTTTGAGCTTCAGAATTATTCCTCTATCATAATAATGTAAATGCAAAAATCTTTTGATTATACTTGAAATTCAGCTCACTAAATTCAGCTCACTTGAAATTCAGCTCTCTCAATAACTATACTGTTAACAATTTTGTTTGAAAATTAGGTAGTTTTAATGTCTATGACTACAAATCACAATTAAGTGACAAAAATCTTAATTTCTCACAGAATGCTGTAAAAGGCCTATCCTAGCTTCTCTGAATTGATTTCTGGCATCTGAATGCAGAACCTTTCATACCATATTTTCTGAATATGCAGTTTCCATGCAGAAAACACACAATGTATACTGCGGAAATTAGGAGTAATTTGGGTTTGGAATGACAAAAAAATGTATGTTTATTATATCACAGGCTCTTTTTTAGTTTTAGGAGGTATGTTGAAAGATGTCTATGTCTTCACTGACCTGGGAGGGCTCCATTGTTAGAACGTGTCTCTCCTTAAAGAAGAACTGTTAACAAAGAACTGTATCAAAGGCAGTTTATCGTGCAGGATGATGAAAAGGTAGGGAAAAAAAACCTACTACCAATGTTTATTTAAGTACTGCAGACTGAGTTTATAAGCATTTTTATCAGATGCAGATGGACAATACAAATAAACTGAATTTCATTCACGTAGGCTTTGACTTCTAAAATTTTATTCTACTACACTTTAAATTCCTGTACGCTAAAATGAGAAGACACACAGTCTTAGGAATCAAAAATCCATCTTACAAATCCCTTCTACTTACGAAACTATCGTTTTTCTCTATACAGAAAACCAAACTACATACTGAACTGTAACTGAAATTCTTTAAACTGTATCTCTGTAAGAAACCAGCAGAAATCCTGTCTTTTGTAAAAGCTGAGTTCCATCGTTCAGTAAGTATAAAATGCTACCTGGCAGCATATCATTAAATAAAAAAAGTTTATACTTACTGTTACTATAAGCAAGTATTTTCCTCAGATACGTGCATGCTCTTATGGCCTCTCTGTGAATACTTTGCTTTTCTAAGCCCACAAAGGATGGGCTCACTGTCTTGGTAAGGCTTAATAGGATAACAAGTTCAAATGTTTTTTTCCTTTGGATTTACCCACTTCTGTACTATCCACCCCCGTCAGCAATATGCTGTAAATACATACCATTCCAATCGCTGAAGCAATAAAGGACTAATGGTTATTTAATTTTTAACACTTAAAGCAAAGAAAAATAACTCAACTTACTGGGGCTTTATAAAATGTCAGCTTTGTCTGAAAAGTCTTAACCAGATTACCTAACTAAAAGTAAAGATAAAAGAGGAAGCAATGTTGCTCACAGCCTTGCTCCACTTCTTTTTCTATTTCTGTCTCCTAAGCTCAGAATCAGATTAGTATATTTAATTCCATGAAGCATCATGACTGGTCTACCTTTAATTAGCCTGCTGACATCCACCCCTTTTTCCTTCACATGCTATAGAATTCATGTAATCGTTTACCAACTTGGCAATATTCCTACACAAACCACAGAATGTAATTTTAATTATAGCATCAACACTGGAATGATGTTATTTTTCAAATCTTTACACATATCCAATATGATAAAGAAGATGAAAGTAGTATGCTTACAGGGAAAATGCAGTTTATAAATCTATCACAACTCCATTGTGTTTACAGGGTATATTAAAAACACATAAGAAGGACGTGGAGGTGCTGGAACAAGTCAAGAGTAGGCCACAAGGATGATCAGAGGGCTGGAGCACCTCGCATATTAAGGACAGGCTGAGAAAGTTGGGGCTGTTCAGCCTGGAGAAGGCTGCGTGGAGACCTCATAGCAGCCTTCCAGTATCTGAAAGGGGACCTACAGGGATGCTGGGGAAGGGCTCTTCATTAGGGACTGCAGTGATAGACAAGGGGTAATGGGTTAAAACTTAAAACAGGAAGTTTAGATTGGCTATAAGGAGCAAGTTCTTTCCTGTTAGGGTGGTGAGGCACTGGAGTGGGCTGCTGAAAGAAGTTGTGAATGCTCCATCCCTGGCAGTGTTCAAGGCGCGGTTCAACAGAGCCTTGGGCCACATTGTCTAGTGTGAGGTGTCCCTGCCCATGGCAGGGGGTTGGAACTAGATGATCTTAAGGTCCTTTCCAACCCAAACCAATCTATGATTCTGTATGTACTTACATAATATGTAAGCTCTTATTATCAGATGAGCTTTCAGTTGGTCAGTGCTATCTATTTTGGTTTTTGTTTAAACACCTCAACTTTTTTAAATTATTACTATTTTTACTATTTGTAAATTATTATAATTCCAAAACCAGGTAAAATACATATTTACAAATCATATACTGAAGTTAACTCTCTGTAGTGTACAGGCAAATTAGGAGAAAAGGCATCCCCAGAATTTTCTGCTTTGTGCATCTATAGGTAATGAGTATTCTTTTTGTTCTGGCACCAGTATAGAAGCGAGAGAGAAGACAGTGAGACCATTATTAGACAGTGTGAACAAACCCTCGGTACTTTTTAGAGTTTAAGGAATACTGCAGATCTGCAGCTTTTGGAGAAAGTAAATAACTGAAAACCTTACGGAGCTGCTGCTGTAACCATATTCCAGTTAGGACTGCTACACTCTGTTTAACTGTTGCTAAATTTAATTTGGTTCTTTTCTAAATTGTTCTAGTTGCTAAATAACTACAGCATTTACCTCTTCAAGTAGGTTTTCATATGTAATCTGCAAACAATAATTATCCTCCAGAAAACTTCTATGCATAGGTATTTTCAAACGATAACCTACAAACAGGCCAAATTAAGCAATAAGAAGCCAGGAAAAGTTTCACTTTAAATAAGAAATTAAAATTATAAAATTACTTCTTTTAAACAACCGGTATTTGTCATGTACTCTGAATGGTTCATCTATTCGGAAGGAAAAAGGTAAAGAAAGCTTGAAAAGGACTATTCATGTAGGTTTTAAAAATGTATATACATTAAAAACTGTTGCAACACCAGATGTTATTAGAGCTGAAAGATCAGTAAAATACTACTTTCAAACTCAGAGATTATGGAAGTATTTTCTTTTTCAAACTATCCTATTTCTACTTTTTCATGAAGTAAAACAAATATTTTCAAATTATTAGCACTGTAATTGCAGAAATGCATTGTTTATACAGATTCTCAATTAAAAAATAGTCTGATTCTTAGTATCAGTATGGATATCAGTATGGTTATAGATACTGAGCTTCAGAGTTACAGGAACCCACTATAATTTCCTATGTGAAAAAATAATATTAGGTCTTCTACATGTATTTTTCAGTACCCCAACGTCATAAATACTTCATGTTACCTATGCTTGCTCTTTATCTTCCCTCTTCCATCTTATCCCTTCCTTGTTCATCTTTCTTACTGTACATAATTTTTACAGTACTAGATAAAAATTCCTTCCATTTCTTAGCTTGCATCACTGTTTACATGCATTATCCTTTACTTGTATAAACAACTGCAATAAGGCTTCCTTCAGTCCCACAGGTTTTTAAAAGATTAATTCCACTGATAACATGCAGTCCCACTGGAAGCTTGTCATGCTTCCCCTTAAAAGCAATTTTTAAGGGAAGCAGTGTATTGCTTCCTTCTCATTTCCAGATGGCTCAAAAGACAACCTGATTTTCTTCACCTGTAGGTACAGATGAAACATAGAGAGAGGATCAAACAATGTAATGATTTGTCAACTGTTCCAAATCTGTCAGAAATGCTTCTTGTTTTAAAGTCTGATATGCATTGCCTTAAAAAAAAAAAAAAAAAAAAAGCAAAGCTGCTGAGTATAGTATGACACTGTATGGAAAAAAAAGAACCATTAGGATTTTTAGATTTTTTTACTGATTCCAGTTTGCAGAGCATTCTGAAACAAATCTGACATCATTCACTGATTAAAAAATATTCAAATTACTCTGAATAAACCAATTATCATATTTACAACTATAATTGTATTTCCTTTCATTCACTTGCATTTTATCACTGCAATGAATGCATAATCAGACTAGTGAACGATCACATAACATTAATAATAAATATACTTTCATAACCTTCCGTTTTGAAAGAATATTAACATTCAATAACACAACAAATTAAGGCACAAATCTGATCTGTTGCATTAAATATAAATAAGTAAACATTTTAATTCCTGTGTTGCTTTCCCAGTCTTAGAGCTGGGGTTAATGTATTTCTTTCACCTGTAAAATTCCTAACAGTGGTAACAATCTTAAGTGTCTTCATTTCCATGAAAGAACTCTGTACATATTTTGAAATATTATGAATTGTTTAATTAATCTACTTTTCTCCTCCACTACTCTTACATTTCTAATTATTAGAGAATTAAATAATTCAGTGCTTAGGGTCAGTAAGCACATTATTCTCTTATAAAATACCTAATATTTAGGCTTTCGAAAATGGTTCTCCAGTACCTTTTTCATAAACAGAATACTGTGTTACACCTTTAAATTCAGGCTGATGTACAATTGGGTAAGCACAGATTATATCAAACAGGGGTAGTAAATAAATACTCTTGAAGGGTTACTGACATAAAAGATAAAAAGTACTATATATTCACCATTTAAGTATGCCATTAGCTTAAAAATAACCATAGTTGATATGACTTTCAGCACTCAGTGTTGATTTTTGTGCCAGGCAGAATTTAAAGAAAGAATAGGAAAAAATGAGAATGAAACAATTAAGAGGACATAAACAGTGTTCAAACAGGAGGCAAGGTCAGGCCTTTTTGTAATGCTGTGACTCATTCCAGTGGAGGACAGAAAATGCCAAATCAAACATTCAGAGCATAACAGCAATAAATCACTTATTAGAATTAAAGATTAGCATTCATTCCAATCCAATGTTTTATCAACTGGTGCGCAATAGCTTGACTCGGTGGTACAAAGAATGACCGCTGGTTTCCTTTGATAAGAACTTCTATGACCTGCAATAAAGACAGATTTTTTTCTTTAGAAGGCAGTATTATAAAGTACATTGAATCTAACATTTTATGAATGCAGGAATACTCTGTCTATCGTTACTATAGCAGAGAAAAAACACACAGAGGATTATGTGTGAATGCCGACATTGAGCTCAAAAGGGCCCCAAAGGACACCTTCTTTCTAATACAATTCCAGAGACTGACTGTTAGTAAAATATTTAAGGTTTGTGTGAGGCCTTTTTACAGTAAGGACTACGAGATGGTGCTCTACACTCTTCCATAAATTACTCTTTTTTTTTTTTATTCCCCCACATTCACTGCAGAAAGAAATGTGTTTTGTTCATTTTCTGAAGCAGTCACAAAGAAACACACAAGTCCACTTTCAGCAGTTTCAGTTTAGTACATTTCTGAAGTACATTTATTTCCACTTCTAGACCAACCTGTAGGCAACTGTATTCAGAACTGGTATTAATTTAAAATAATGCTCTCAGTGGTGTCAGGAATACACTGAGATAACTAACTTTGTTTTCAGGCTGTCTTACAGAGCTAAAACACGTGCAACTGCTAGACAGTACAGTGTTAAACGTTTAGCTCCTAAGTAGCCTGTGGAAAAACCTATGAAGACTGTCTAAGCAATCTTTCCTTTTTCCATTCATGAATTAAAGTCTCTCTTTCTGTGAAAGACTTTCCTCTCTTTGACTATATTTTAAGTACTCAAAACAGCTAAATGTAGAATTTCCTATTAATGCAGAGTAAACTCTGTTTTTATACAAAGAGTGTTCAAACTAAGAATACCTCAGAGTTCAACTCCAGCGTATAAACGTATTGAAAGGAAAAAGATATTCAAACTAATGAATTCCCAGACTTTTTACCTAAACCTCCCTTCTCACAGCAGATCTCATGGCATGCTTGTTTGGAGAAACTCAAGATGATGAATGCCATTAAACACTACTTCTGCCAAAATGAAAAGTGACTTAGAAATTCCCGTGAATATCTGCCTTTCTCTTTGTTGTGTGTGATCTACAATTACAATATAATGCAATTGCAGACTGATAAAATGGAGAGTATACATGCTTATTCAACTTGCTGAAAAATACCCAAGTATCTATTGTATGCCAGAACCTATACAGTCACAGAGTAATCGATACAAGAAGGAAATTAAATTGAACTTTACCTGTTCTCTAGTGAACCAGCGGGCATCCTCTATTTCATTCTTGTCAACTTTAATTTCTGTAGACACTGCAACAGCTAAGCAGCCAATCATTAAGGAGGAGGGCATTGGCCATGGCTGACAAGAGACATACTGAACATGGCCAATTTTGACTCCAGCCTCCTCTTCTACTTCTCTTCGGACAGCATCTTCTATTGTTTCACCTAATCAAAAAGAGCAAAGAACAAGCAGCTGATGAAAACACTCCAAGCAAGGATTACATTCTGTGCTTTGAACTGACTCACAAGATTTGAAACTGCCCAAGACAACTATCTATAGAGCTCTAGTTCACAAATCAGAGCACAGACCTTGAGCAAAAGATACAGAAGTCTGGTAAAATAAAATAAGCCACCAAAGCACAATGGAACATTGAAAACAAAGTATGATAATTCCTCCAGCATAATATTTATTTCCTGAACTGACAATTTATCGTATGTGTAAACTATTATTACCATACCTAAAATGTCAAAAATTGGGTAGGAAATACATTGTTCCTTTAACTACTTTTAAAATGCTGATCTGTTCATTTATGAATAGCACTGTGTTAATTTTTAGATTTTCCACGTGATTGCAAGAGCATGTTTTATAAAACTTGAAAATCAGTATTTTAAATTACAATAGTAAGAAAATAGAGGCTCAAGAAGACTTGCACACATTTCTGCTTTTTATTATTCACTTTGCTTGACTCATTCTTCGTTGTCTTAATAAATACGCACAATTCTCCAAACTTCAACTACAATGGAAAGCTTTACTTCCATATTCATAGAAAACTGCTAAATGTGTATGTGGAGTATTGACAGTAATAGACATATGCATACCTGTACTGTACTGTAACCACTGATTACAGATTCATTAAGGCAGACAGCCCATGCATCACAGAACGAGGTTTTAGTTCAGCTATGTTCAGCTGATTAGAAGCTGCTGCTGCGATCTTGAATTTCAGTTTATATGCTTGAATTCAGTATCAGAAATAAGGCCAACAGAAGAAAGCAAACAGTGAAGAAATAAGTATCTTGACTTTTCAAATGATACTTGAATAAACTTATTCATGTTATCATTGTATTTCACCTGCATACAGTTACTGAATATAGTCATACACTAGTTTTACTAGTGATTAAGATGTATTCCCAATATAAAATGTTTTACAAGTTGTTTTGCAGCTTCTAATAATTGCAACTAATTCCAACTATTACTGCCTAACACAGCTAGCAAAATACCTCTTTATTTTTCTTTTGAAGTGATATAATTTCTATTTTTCTCCCATGTAATCAATCAGGCTCTTAATGTGTAAGCATATGCTTAACTTTATGTTAACTTTTTAACTATTTCCTAAGCTAAAATCCCTTGCTAAATATAATAATCAAAAAAAAGAGATCTTGTATATGTTTTAAAATGGTTTTTTTACTTAAAAATGTGATGAGAAAGCTATCTTAAAACTATATTTACTTAAATTGCTTTTCTGTTTTTTGTAAATCAGCTGCTGGAAAGTACAGGACAGGCTACATAACAGGTAGCAAAAATATTTATTTGATGTAACACCAAACATACTTATTAACCATGCCAAGTGTGAGGTCCTACACCTGGGTCGGGGCAATCCCAGACACAGCTACAGGCTGGGCAGAGAAGAGATTCAGAGCAGCCCTGCAGAGAAGGACTTGCGGGTGCTGGTCGATGAGAAAATGAACATGAGCCAGCAGTGTGCGCTTGCAGCCCGGAAAGGCAACCGTATCCTGGGCTGTATCAAAACGAGTGTGACCAGCAGGTCAAAGGAAGCGATCCTGTCCCTTTATTCTGCTCTCGTGAGACCTCACTTGGAGTATTGTCTGCAGCTCTGGTGTCCTCAACATAAAAAGGACATGGATCTGTTGGAACAAGTCCAGAGGAGGGCCACGAGAATGACCAGGGGACTGAAGCACCTCCCGTATGAAGATACGCTGAGAAAGTTGGGGCTGTTCAGCCTGGAGAAGAGAAGGCTGCATGGAGACCTCATAGCAGCCTTCCAGTATCTGAAGGGGGCATATAGGGATGCTGGGGATGGACTCTTAATTAGGGACTGTAGTGATAGGATAAGGGGTAATGGGTTAGAACTTTAAACAGGGGAATTTTAGATTGGATATAAGGAGGAAATTCTTTCCTGTTAGGGTGGTGAGGCACTGGAATGGGTTGCCCAGGGAGGTTGTGAATGCTCCATCCCTGGCAGTGTTCAAGTCCAGGTTGGACAAGGCCTTGGGTGATATGGTTTGGAGCAAGGTGTCCCTGCCCATGGCAAGGGGGTTGGAACTTGATGATCTTAAGGTCCTTTCCAACCCTAACCATTCTATGATCCTATGATTCTATTATTTTCCATGGACAATACTGGTATCCGAGAAAACGTTATTTGGTAAGGGAAAATAAAATTACTCACCAGGTTCTACAAATCCAGCAAGACAGGTAAACATTCCTGGGGGAAACCTCTTCTGCCTACCTAAAAGGCAGCGATTGCCATTTGGATGGATGACTTGCATTATTACAACAGGATCTGTAAGGCACACAAAATGAATGTACTTTAACATTTGAAGGAATTAAAAGCAGAAATAAATTTCAGCCTATTCAAAACCAATGCATGCAAATACAAGATACCTTTAAGTGACTGAGATTAGAACTCTATGGGAGCACAGAGTAAGATACCACTTTATTTCAGTTGGAGTTTTTTTTTTTTCTCCTGCAAGATATGTCTTGCAACCCCTATGCTTAGTACAAGCAGTTTACTAGCCAAGGCTTAAAATGCAGGACATTAATTACCTGCAACCAAAGCACACAATCTGTTATGAGTACCAGCAATATTAACCTACCTACGCATTCACCAGATAGCAGTAATTTCTGCAGCAAAACCAGTTTACTTTCACCTTCTGTATGCACACTGGCATGATGTACTTTTGACTGAAATACCAAAGAACCACCAGTTACTCCAGTTATAATGTAAACACTGAATAAACTTTCTGCTTTTGATTCATTGACCATTTGCTATCAATCTCTCAGCTGATGTTGCACTTTTACACACTTTCTCACTTCTGGTCATTTTCTTTTTTAGTATTGGTTCATACTTTCTTCTATTGGCATAATTATTTTTGTCATTCCTTTCTGCACACTGTTCCTCTACCATCTTTTCCCCTTTTTTATTGTTATCTAGCTCTTGTTTCTCAATGTTTTGGGGTTTAGTTTTTTTCTGTCTCCCTTTGCCTTTACGTATTTTTAATTCAGCTATTGCTTTACATGTTTTTTTGTTTTCAGAACACCAACATTTTCTGTATGAAAAGGCTTGATTCAGCAACCACTATTAACAGTAATTTGAAAGACTTCTGTCCTGCTCAAACATATGTGACACACAGCACAGCGTATATCATGCAGTATTGCTATCTGTAAACTTAAGAGAGTTATCAGTAGAAAATGCTGGTTCATCAGTCTTTCCTATACAAACCTACTCCTCTCCAAGTTTGTTGTGCTATAGACTGTAAAGAAACAGGCACTAATATTTTAGCAAGTTTCACTACAGTCCGTAAGACAGAAGAGTACGACAGAACTGCTTTTACTACTACAAAGATGTATCTACAGCATGTAAGAAAACATGAAATCCAGAAATGTAACACACATACATCTAGAACTACAACTCCAAAAGAAAGGAAAGAGCAGGGGAAAGAAAGGTGATTCAATCACCAAAAGATCCAGGAAGAAGTGATAAGGTTTTTTTAGCTTCCCTGTTTCCCCATCAATAACATAGTACACTCCCTTTGCAACAGATGAACAAAAGACTGCCTACATAAGCTTACATTCTGAGGAGTAATAGCCCTGGCAGTTTGTGACTGAAACAGAATATTGAAAGCCAGTGAAGATATCTAATACTGTCAAAGTGGCATTACAGGAAAATGAGCACTGTATCAGAAATTTGATACAGGGACAAATTTGATATAGAACTATTTCAAGCTCAAACAGCTTGCAGCAGGTGATAAAACAGTATGCGGGGGGGGAATGATAACATGACCCTTTGTTAATATTTCATTTATGTGTTGGAAATTCTAATTAGTATTACTCCATTGCAATAAAGACTGGTATTGTCCCAAGAACGCTTTGTCACAGACTACTGCAAGAAAGGAAAGCCTGAACAACTTAATCCTGAATAGAGCTGAGGCACACATCCTCTGGGGGGAAGACGTGTTAAGACCCGAAACAGAAGCAAGCAGCTGAAGTAACTAAAAGGAAAACAAGCCACTTCCATAAATCCTGCAATATTCTCACCAACTCTTGGATATGATGTGTTGTGAACACCTTGGAGACTGGGACAATCTTCTTTTAAACAAGTTTTCTTATAACCCGCTTCTTCAATCTTGGTTACACTCCCACATGTTGGGCAGAATCGGTAGCGGCTGTGCCATGCTAGAACAGATCTAGCTTGGGCTACTACTCCTTCAAAACAATATATTGAAAAGACACAAAATCAATGACCAATTCATATAAGCTTTTAATGTACAGAAAAAGTAAGTATTAAAGTCTAACATAAAAAAAAAACAAAACAGACTATGGCTTGAATTTTTGAGCAATATGTTACTCAGATCTTTGTAGCACAGCATGTGCAATAGGACACAGTACCAGACCACCTACAGACCAAATCATGCATTCAGAAAGAAGTTCATCTGGATCAATAAGCTGTGTTTTTCACAAAAGCTACTTTATCTGGGCAAAGTGCCAGAATTACGTATCACACCTTTTTCACACGACTATTTCAGGGCTACTACAGGTATTGACATAATAATATACTGCTGCATGTAAACTCCAGATGCAAGCTTGCCCTTTATCCTCTTGTAAAAGCAAATTTGTTACAACAGCAGCTGTTAACATCATGACAGTCGCTCACTTTGGGATCCTGGCTTTCCAATACTTGCTCATGCTGTTTCCTTCTCAGACGAGTGTCCAATGCACTCTTCTCAATGGCTCAGTTTTGTTTTGTTTAATGGAAACTCAAGATTTTTTTTCTTAGAACATTTTTGCACATGTATCAATATTTAAATAGCAGTGCTTATAAAACCGTAATAGATTTTATGGTCCAATACTTGCCATTGCCATACAAAGGCATTGCTAACCCCTGTGCATTATCCTTTTGCAACTGCACAAGTTCTTACATAGAGAATTACTCACAGAACCACTGCAGGCTTTTAAAATGACAGTATTTCTAAAGCCACTGAAAATACCAAATTCCTTTGCAGTGGTTTGTCCTTGCATTATATCTCAGTGCACCCAAAAGTGTATCTTTCTGAATACATGTTTGATCACTGCTGCATTTTATGCATCTTACCAGCTTCTCTTTCAGGCAGCTGCAGTAGCGTTGGCATTGGTGGGTGAAGAAAGTAACAGTCCTCATGCTTCTGCTTAAATTCTTCAGCTGAAGCAGAATCTATGCTAAGAGCAAACCAAGCAACTAACGCATCCTCTCCATCCTCTTGCAGAACTCTTCCATTGCAAGGAGCCAGCAGGTTCACGTGGAACTGAAGTTCAACTCCCAGAAAAATCAAGGTTCTGTCTTCAGTTTGGTTCATGTACTGCTCCACATCCTTGTGGCATAGCCTGCAAAGCTTTACTTTTGACTGCTGAGAGCTCTCTGTTCCCTCACGCAAAGTAACCAAAGGACTTAGATTTGAGAAAAGAATGTACACTGTAGTTGGATGGCTTTGTTTTTTGTTTAGCCACTTGGTATCTGTTCTTTTATCACTCCTTCTGTCCAGAAGTGTCAAGCTAAAATAATTTTCATATTCCTCTGCTTCATTTGACAGAAAAGTAGGTCTCTGCCCACCCTTCACATCAGCCAACAAATTAGCTATGTGCTTGTACCCCCAAAATTTAGCAATGTCTAGAGCTGTCTGCCTTGATTTATTAACAATGGTCCTGTCACACCTAGTGAAACAGAAAAGAACAGTGGTTAACAAGACAAATACGTTGAGTTCTGATGCTGTATTATTCTTAATTACATCATATACCTCTGATACTAATTAAGGTGCAAGAACTTCCAGACAGTTTGTCTATCCCAGGGCTAAAAACTTAGCATTACGGTAATGAAAACTAATCATACATTATTTTCTTTCGCTAAGGCAAGACACCAGTGTGTTGATCCACTCCAGATCATCATTTACCAAGGTTCACACAGTACTACAACAGCAATGAATTAATTAACATCCCACATATTGTATCATGAAGAAAAAAAAAAAAAAAGCTCAAGATCACAGACTTACACAATCATCTAGGTTGGAAAAGACCTTTAAGATCATTGAGACCAACCTAACACTGCCAAGTCCACCACTAAATCCTGTCACTATGTGCTACCTACACATCTTTGAAATACCTCCAGGGATAGTAACATAACCTTTGCCCTGGGTAGCCTGTTCCACTGCTGAATAACCCTTTTGGTGACAAATTTTTCCCTAATATCCAATCTGCTCTCCCCTGGAACTATATGAGGCCGTTTCCTCTCTTTCCTACCATTTATTACCCGGGAGAAGAGACCAACATCCACCTCACTAGAACCTCCTTTCATGTAGCTGTACAGAGTGATGGGGTCGCCTGTCAGCCTCCTTTTCCCATAATAAACAAAACCTTAGTTTCCTCAGACCCTCCTTGTAAAGCTTGCTCTCTACACCTTTCACCAGCTTCGCTTCACTTCTCTGGACATTTAAATATCAACCTTTGGACTTTGAAAGCCAGGCTAAAGGTCTCTTCTTAATAATCACAAGTAACAAAATAAAGAAGCAGTTTAACTAGCATTACTTCCAAGAAACATCTGCAAACAGCTTCAAAACATTTACATTAAAATATGTACCATTAAATAAGAATCAAAAATACAGCCTCCTCTTAGTGAGAGAAGTAGCACACTTACAACTGCAATGCTGGTCCCTGAAGGGATCTGTTACCAAAATGTCTTCAAAGTGACACAGATGAGGTAACACTGCCTCACAATACCTATTTCTGTATTAAAAATATCTGATTGGGGTTGACTTGGATGTCTACTGCAATTTTTTTTTGTCAATTTTAAGTCAAGTGGGTAAATAAAAGTAGAAATTTCACTGTAAACTACAATTTTCACAGCAGATGTGGCACCAGACTCATCAGTTTTTAAAACTGAGGCACATGTAGCTGTCCCACAGGAACAACTGTTTTGTGATTTTATATTAACCTCAGTAGTTTCTGAAGGTGCTTGAGTGTATCTCAGAAAAGCATTCAAAGCTTAATTTACAAGGTTTTGGTGCTAAAGCAACTACTTTTGCGCATTTATTATTAAATCTCCTCTAGGCACAACCTTGTCTAATTTCTTACTTGATTTCCTATCTGTCAGCCACTAAATTTTGTTCTGAATTTTTATTACAGCTTGTATCTGTTCATGCATATGTAGACTGTGATCTGGCTGCTGTTCAGCATCCACAACATTGGCCTGAAATTTTTACATCACTAAGAATTTTTCTACAGTCTACAAACATTTCCTTCAGCTTTTCTCAAACATGAATAAAGTTGACTAGCTTTTCTGTATTAGTTTCTGGAATGTTATGCAATACTACCTGCTCAGACATTCACGTTTATGTATCCAGCAACAGTATTTGCCCAGTGATTATTATGACTAAGCATTACCTGAGACCAATGAGCCCAGAGTATCACCTCAGGAGCAATACTGAGTTGCCTAAGAGAATAGCCCTGAAAAGGACTTTTACACACAGATATTCACTCTGCTTTTAGTGTCAGCATAACTTAAAAAACTGTTACCCTGTTTACCAAACTGGTGAATCTCACAAAATCTCAAGAGACTCCTCAACATCCAGAGGATTTTAATCCACAAAATTTGGCACCAAGATACTCCTCTACATGGTGGAATATAGTGATTACAACACAAAACAGCAGTTCACCTGATATTCCATGACTGGCCCCAGCAAAGGGCACAGCATTCGGGTAAGACTGAAAATGAAACGGATGGGATGACCACTGGAGGCTGTGGAACACTCTGTTTGAGATTACTCACAACCAGAAAACTAGCTGTAATTGCTTGGTTCTCATTTTTTGGGTGCACAAAGGAACAGCTCACTGGAAGCACACCGTCTGACTTTCACTCTTTATTTTGAAATGCTCTCCATTTGAAATATTTGGGTTCTGATTTCATTTAGGCTTCAGAAGAATCTTCTTTGGGGTCTCAAGGAGAATGCTAAGCATTCTTTGCTGAGTTTTAAAAACAGGACTACAAGAGTTGACCTGAAGATACACAAGAGTAACAGAATGTTTCTAAGAGGCAGTGAACACGTTTGGTGTCCTACTGACTGATGAAAATAATGTAACAGCTCAAGGAGGAAGTTAACTGGCCAAAAAAATGAGGCAACTGAAACACATCAATCACCAACTTTGGTAAAGGTCCTGCTTAAGTATTCTGTCAGTATGTCAGCAAACATTCTGTAATGTAGATACAGGTGGATTGCAAATAAAGTTTAAAGAAAAAGTTTAAGTGGAACAACTGAATATACTAAATTTATTCTGTGTACAGGGGCTGGAACAGGATACAATCTTTGTTCTGTTGGCCCCTGGGAGGAGTGACAACATATGCTTGAAGGCCAAAGGAATAGAAATGGTCTTAACGAGTTTCTTAACAAATACGTATGTGTCGTGACAGCAGAATCCAGTTAGAAACACAGTATACTGAATTTGAACCCTGAGAGTTCTGCTACCTGTCAGGTGATTTACTCTTCTGAAACAAAGTTAAAAGTGGGTGCAAAGGGCTTCAGGTTAGAACTCTTCAACAGGATCTACTGGACAGCTTACCCTTCTGCAAGAAGAATCCGCACAACCTCAAGGTGTCCATTCCTGGCACCATACATCAGGGCTGTCCAGCCATTATCTGCAGCTGCATTGATGAGTGACGGATAAACGCTGAGCAACGTTTTCAGTTTGGCTGCATCTCCAACAGCTGCAGTACTGTGCAGCTGGGAAATCGTGTCCCGATGGAGGTTCTTTTCAAAGTCTGTCATTGGATCAACTAAGTTAAAAAGAAAAAAAACAAAAATGCTTGAAAACATACCCACTATGAGGGATTTAGGTGACAGAATTAAGCTTGAAGATAACACAGATAACGAACGCTGTCACCGAAAATACAGGCACAACAGCAAAACTTCTGTAATTAGCATGACGTTGTTATTCCCAAGCAAACCACAGTCCCACACATCTCCAAACACAGCTGTTATCCTAATAATAAAGACTAGTTTTGGAGAGGCTTAAGGATTTTGCTACAGAAATGAAGCTTCTCTGAACGTGAAAAACACGTTCTGGTCTCCTCACTTGCGCACACAACCAAGGCAGCACTCACTCCCAAGAAACAAGCCTCGGGTACTTTGGGCGGAGGGGCCGGCCCCCGCAAGCCGCAGGGCTCCCCCAGCCACACACAGACCACTGGAACAATTGTGGCGGCCGGTAAGCCCGAACCACACGCAGTAGCCGCGGCTCGGGGACGCGCACAAGCGGACACAGACCAGCGACGGCCTCTTAACGGCTCCCGGCCGCGCCGCGCCGCGCAGGCCGCACACCTCGGTCCTCCTCCGGAACCCCGCATGTACCCAGCAGCCTCGGGCAGGGGCGGGCCCAGAACCGCGCACGGGCCCTGGCTGGTTGCACCGTTACCAGCACCCGTAGGAGCCCCGTTACCGTGAGCTCGATTTCCACAGCAACCAACCTCCGAAAGCTCTTCTGCCGCAGCGGCACTAAGCCGCCTCTGCCCGCGCCGCCTCTGCCCGCTCAGCCTCTACGGCCGCGGCGAAAGACCCGCCCCGGACTGGGGCTGTTCGTGGAGTTGTTACACCTGGGTCTGCAGCTGGCGGGATACAAGCAATTACGGAATGCTGCTGCCTAGCAGGGCCAGATTGCTGGGCGGGTTTAAAGAGCTACAGCCGTTTTCTGCTTAAGGCAGAAAGCTCGGTGGTTACAGAAAACAATCGAACTGTTCTTTAACTCTGTGCTAGTGAAACCACAAGCAACAGAATGTGGAGCAAATGAGATTTGTTATCGAGTGAGCCAATCTTATTTTAAAATGTGTATTTATAAATTTATTAAATTCAGCAGGCGATAGCAGATGAAAAAAAAACAGCGCTGAATTCCTCAAGTACTCTCCCCTCCACCCAAGACGCGCACATGGCGGCTGTGGGAGGCTGTCCTTTATATTTTTCGGTTCAAGGCTTCAGCCAATCCCGCTGCTTCTTTTCGCTCGGATGCGGACGTACTCTTCCATTGCTTCCCTTTGCTGCTGGGGGGGGGAGGGGAGGGGGTGGTGGTGGTGGTGGTGGGGGTGGTGGTGGTGTCGCATAGTCGAGAAGTTTCGAGAAGTTTCCAGAGATTTCGAGAAACGCCCGTTAGAAGCCTCATCACAACCCCCATCCCTTATTTGGTACATATAACAAGATACAACTTCAAACTGTCTAACCCCCCCTTAAAGCGGCAACGTCGGGGGAAGTCCGCGGCCGCTCTTAAAGGGGCCGCGCCTCAGCGTCTTTTTGTCCCGCCCCTTTCTTTTCTTTCTCAGTTTTGTGTAATAATACAACTGACTTCCCTTTATAACTCACGAAGTACAATAGTTACGAAAAAGGAATGTGTTTCCACAGAGTGACAGTTACAGAGAGTTTCTTAGAGTGTAGCAAGCAATATTTCCCTTTAAACCTTTTGATGAACAAACCCCACACATTACAAGATGGCGTGGCTAGGGAGAAGAGTTAATAGGGAAGTTGGAATCATTATGCAAGCCAGAAGAGTCGAGTCATAGAATCCACGGGCATGGAAAAGACCTTTAAGATCATCATGATGCTCAGAAAAACACCATAAAGAAACTGAATAGTCAGTGTAACTATTAAGTAGGTATTTGTTCAGCGCTGGGCACGTGGGGGGTTGCTCCTCCTAACAGATGCACTTTGCCCAGCTTGTCACAAATTTATGTTAGTAGATACACAAGATTTCTGACAAGAGGAGGGGTCCTTCTTGGAACTCTGCCACTCCTCCCTTGAGTGTGTGTACTGTCATCTGATGGTGGTCGATGATGGTCGTGAGGATGAAGGCTCAAAGTTCCCTAGGTTGAAGTTTCTACCTTTTCTCTTGGAGTATGCACAGTACTTTTATGCTGGTTTCCCAAACCACTGAACCAGTTGTCCTGGGTTTAGCAGTAGCAGTCATTTTTCTCTTTCTTGGTAGCTGGTGCAGTGCTGTGTTTTGACTTTCGGGCTGGGAACAGAGCTGAAAAAAATGATGTTTCTTTTTGGCCAAGGACTTTGTAGGCCTCATGCTCTGCCAGGGAGGAGGGAAGCCAGGAGGAAGCAGAGACAGGACACCTGACCCAAACTGACCAAAGAGGTATTCCATACCACAGCACGTCATGACCAGGAGGTAACTGGGAGTGAGCCGGAAGGGCTAGGTGGACTGCAGGGTTGGAGGAGGTATCGGTCGGTGCTTGGTCAGGCTGGGAGGGGGGCGAGTTATCGGTTGCCTGGTGATGGGGTGTTGTATTCTCTTTCCTTGTTATTTCCTTTATCGTTACTGTTATTGGTGGTAGCAGCAGTGATTTGTGTTATACCTTAGTTACTAAACTGTTCTTATCTCAACCCGTGGGAGTTGCATTCTTTCTGATTCTCCTCTCTGTCCCTCCAGGAGTAGGGGGAGGGCAAGAAGAGGAGGGGGAGTGGGTGAACAAGTTGGTTGGGGTTAAACCAGGACACCAGTATATGTCTTTAGCACACAAGCAGCCCCTATTGGCTTAGGCCTAGATAAGCAGTAACAAAGTTGCTTAATTGAAAAACTGACCTTAAATTTTATGCTTTTTTCTGAAAGCTGCTTTGTCTTAGTATACAGCTCCCTTGTCTTAGTGAATTTCTGTTCTCGGTTCTCTCCTTTTTCTGCAACTTTAGCAAATTCTTTTGCATTTGCACAGAAAGAATAACTGTTTCTTTCATTTTGTACCGTATGAGGGGTTATGCAGTTGTTATGTTTGATTTATTGCTGCATAATTCCTGCTAAATTTCTAGTTATAATTTTTTTAATGCAACCTAAGGTTATTCTTACTAGTATAATTATTAGGATAATTGCAGTCAGTTTGTATCAAGTTAGCAAGCCAACCTGTGAGAGAAAACTCAAATCCCTGTAGAATTTTGTTGAATCAAGTAGTTACCGTATTTTCTCTTAAAGCTCTACTGTCTCGTGCTATTCTCTTAATTTGATCAATTTGCTTATTTAAATCTTGAGTGGCATTTGGAATGTGTATACAATGTTTCATTTTTAATCCTAGAAAGCTATGCATTTGCATGTTATTTTAAAAGGAGTAGGTCTAATGTGAGTCTGTTTTGCAATATCATCTTGGAAGTTGTCTGTAATTGCCTACTTAAGTCCTGCAAAGCCTTTTGGGTGGCATTCGCTAAGTTTTCTATCTGTTCAAACAATAAAACAAGTTTATTTTCTGATGTCGAGTATCCTGGAGCAAAAATAGCCTTTATAGTTCATAATACTCTTGTACCTGTGCTAGGGGATTGCCAATTTTCCTGACTTTCTCTCTTTACTCGTCACCATAGAGATGGTTGCAAGGGGGATTTTCTCCGTAATGGATTTAATAATCCCAAGGTCCGTTTTATCTATGATTTGTAAATGGCTGGTCCACGTTCTGTGACTGCCTATCCAAACAACGTGACCTTTTGTCTTTCTAGTATCCTGGAGGCAGTTAATTAGGAGTCATGTATTGTTATTAGTGAAATGTGACCAAGTGTTGTTTAACTGCGTAGAGTAATTCCTACAGATACATCCTAATCTCAATGCTTGAGCAACAGGCATTAATAGTTGTATCTTTGGCTCTGTAGAGCTACAATTATATATTCTAGTGCAGTTCCATTGTGGCTTGTTAACTGTGTTCTTCTTTCTCATTTCCTCAATACTACTGTAACTCTTCTCCACCTGTAATAGATCTTCAGACTACCTTAAATTCCTGTAAATTCTGTACACCACCCAGTTGAGGACATAACTTCCCAGGATCCTTTCCGACCATCTTTCCAGATCTTTGGTATTTGACAGCCCTTTGGAATGTTTGTTTGGTCTCCAAAGGGCTCGTATGTCACTTCCTTGGCCCAAGAAGTAGGAGGTTTAGTTACATTATGCTTGGTAACTGAAGTCTTGACTTTTTTACAGTTCAGAAAGTAGTTTCATTCTGTACCTACCCATAGTAACTTGCCTTCATTACGTCCTTGCCACATTTTCGCAAATCTTAGTCACATTGGTGGGTAAAATTCCCCATGGAATTGGATTTCCTGCCTTGGTTGGCACTGATAGACAGAAGGTAATGGAGTATATGTTCTGTATTTTTCCAAACCCTTGAATGAGTTGCAAAATTTAATTTTCCTTATAACCAATGCTACAGTCTATATACATTAACATTAGGAGCCATGAATTCATTGTCCTATATCTCTCTGGAATTTCAATTGCAAAGGTCCTGTAGCTTCCACTTTCCAGCCTGCGGATGCCTTCTTTATTCTGGAATAATGGATCCAGAAAGGTTGTTCTTGGATCTTGACGGTTGTGAACGTTGGGAGCAGCACTTGGTATGGTCCATCCCACTACTCCTGAAGAGGGTCACCTGAAAAATTCTTAGTATATACCCAGTCACCCAGGTTTAAAGAGTGAACTTTATGGTCTAAGGTCTTAACTTTAGTCTCTGATACTTGTTTATGGACTTTTTTCTAATTGTTTGCCCAAAGAGAATATATATTCTTGGAGATAGTGATTTTCTAATTGTTCTGGATTGTCATTGTTTATTTCAACTGTCTCATATGGCCCTCCAAACACAATTTCGACAGGACTTTTTCTTAGCTCTCAGTTTTACACATATTCTCTACAGAGTGATAGGAGGTGCCTGATGCCAGTATAAATGAGTTTCCTGACAAATTTTATCGATTTGTTGCTTAATCATATGATTCATCTTTTCTACTTGTCCACTAGCTTGTAGTCTATATGGAGTATGAGTTGCCAGTTAATTCGCAATATTTGCTAACCTGCTGCTCTGCTTGTGCACAAAAACGTGTTCCCCTATCAGATGAAATAGCTGTTGGTACTCCAGGTCTGGGTGTTATTTCGTTTAATATCACTGTAGTCACTTCTCTTGCCTTATTAGGTCTACATGGAAAAGCTTCTGGCCATCCAGAAAAGGTGTCTGTTAATACTAGTAAATGTTAATAACCCCTTTTTCTGGGTAATTCAGAAAAATCAATTTGGCAATGTTTTCCCAGAATGTTTCCTCTCCCTACAGTTCACTGTTCTATCTTATTGCCTGTATTAGGATTGTTTCTTAAACAGATCTCAGATTGCTGAGTGACTTGTCTGATAGTAGTGTATAAATATTTCCCTGCCACTATAGTCTTCAGGTATTCCTATAGTCTGCTCCCCAATGAGTCTTACTATGTTCATCTTTGACAAATTTCCAAATTTGATTACCCAGTATTATAACTTGCCTGTCCTTTAGATGAGCCCATCCATGAGATGGAATTTGGCCCCATTTTTCTTGAATCCATTTATGATCTGAATCTGAATATTGGACTTCTGTTTGATTTACAATTTTTTCTTCAGGAACTAATGCCATCACCAAGGGCTCTTGTGATTGTTCTGCCGACTGCCTGGCTGTATGATCAGCCAATCTGTTACCTCTTTCTGGATTAG